CAGTCCAACACGCTGACGGCGAATGCATGTTTTTCCATGTAGCTTTCCACGTGTCGTTGGATGCTTTTAAGTACCCTGGCCATTGTTGTGAATAGGAGGGAAGGGGCGTTATTAAGTGTAAACTGCTAATCCTGCACGAAGGGTTGCTTTCAACTTGGGAGGCCTTATGCGGCTTACTCGCCTAGCGCAAGCGAACCATGCTCTGAACAGAGGCACAGCTGATGTTTGCATGCTTGCACATGTCAGATGCGACCGGTGTTTTTAAACAGGTGGTCCTGAGCTGCCACCTGTCAACGCGCCCCATAACCTGAGTTTATGCCTTTTCCGCAGGGTGGCAGGTTCTACTTTCCTTGAGCACATTGGAGACGAGCCGGGAACGTGGCGGCGTCGCTTTCAGAACGCGGTCTCCGACAGTGGTCTGTGGCCCATGTTGTACGGCGGCTGCATGGCCAACTGCGACCTGGAGGCGGTGAGCGGGGGGCAGAGGCGGGAGCACAGCATGGGCACCCAAAGGATAGGCTTCCGGGGACGGGGAGTTGGCAGGCTGTGGTGGAGAGCTCCCGGCTCCCGTCAGGGGTCGGTGAGTAGATGGTGCGGGGGGGGGGAGGAGTGGATGATGAGGCTCGTGAATCGAGACTCCTGGAGGGGCAGGCGGATGATAAGTCTCGAATAGAAACTCCTGGGGGATTGATCATGAGGCTGGGTGAATCGAGACTGCGGGGGGGGGGGGGGGGGAATGAAGAGTGTTGTGAATCGATTATCGGGATACGACGTATACGGGAAACAGTTTATTTTCAAGCTTTCATCTACTGCAAAACAACGCTTGTGGGAGCGAGAATGAAAAAGGTGACATCGAAGTCAGGCGCGCCGCACTATGCTAGCCTGTGTACCGATGGCTGCGGCTCTGGGGGGGGGGGGGGGGGGGGGGGGGGGATAGTTCACGGTCGTTCTGACGCTGCCTCCATGTGCCCGGTGCGTTCATCGCCCGGCTTCCTGTTAACAGGAGCTGCTGGCAGGCGGCTTCAGCACTATGGAGCACCACTCTGTGTTTCTGGTCGAGAACAAGATGAAGCCGCGTTCCAAGCCTCAACCGGGCATCGACCCCCATCAACCCGATCCTGTATGGGGTGGCCACCAAGTAACACGTGTGCTGCCGACCCAGGCCTGGCTGCCGCGCCTGACAGTCCAGAGCGCTGGTGCGAGGGAGTACGCCCGCGCACTGGGTGCAACTAATGGCACTCTATGACTGAGTGGATTTCATGCCCGGGCTTTCTACAGCTGTGATTAGCATTGATGCAGGCTACCTATTGTAATGAGTAGGTTGTAGAGCAATTAAAGTAGTGGTGATGGTGTCTAAGGGGAGCGGTTTATAATATGTTTAAGAGGAATTCATTTAGTTCAGTGTGTAGCTACTGGTGTGGCTACTGGGGCAACGAACGAGCCGTACTTAGGTGCTGAGCCTCTTCCACTCTTAGGGGTGAATAATGAAGTTAGCCTCTTTTTTAGGTAATGAGTTAACCGTCGTATCTGATATTGAACACAGATGACGTGATTTTGTGCATTTACACACCAGGAGGAAACATTCTTATGCCCAAGGTATAGACGCAAGATTTATAGATTTTTCCCCACGACTCAACCACTCACACAAAAATCACACTCCCACATATTTTATGAACTCACACTTCCACATGTTTTTGGGAAACAAAGCGAATAGTCATGAAATTTCAATGAATACGTAAAACAACGTCAAACAACGCCACAGGACGCTCCTGTCTGCGAGCGTTTCAAAAGCCGCTCGCGCCTGAATGCCATCGTGTGTCATGTGCCTACTGCGGCGAGCGCTATGGCTGAAGTACGTGAACTATGTGTGTTTATAATTAATTTCCGCATTGCTTATAGTGGACACTTTTGTGCTTATCATCCAATCAGCCAGTGAATGCCAGTCTGATCTTCGTTTGTCCGCGAATGACAGAAAAACCACGGGCCTAGAGAGATAGGCAGGTGGTTATACGTACACCTAGCCGTTATGCCGAGTGAAACGGTATGGACAGGCCAACTCGCTTCATGTCATAAATTTTATATCGAGCGGGAAACCCGCTGCCTAATCCGATCCATGGCGCGTGTTTGGCAGGACCCAGGTCGGAGGTTCTCTCGTTGTTGTGGCATATTGCCAGGAGTTTACTTACTGCTTTTCATCGTCGTTTCATCCGTTTAGGTGTCTTCATCTTCTCTAAACAGATTTATACTTCACCTCTTGTCCGTCCTTCCCGCTTCCCAGTTTGGTGAAGTACGGAAGGAGGAAGGGACCAGTGACCACCACCCTGAGCCTGCACTGGACACACCGGGGTCGTGCAACCATGTAAAGAGAATGTTTCATTGTGCAAAAATCTGTGTCTTTTGGCAATTCATACAAATTCAGAAAATCTGCGACCCACAGGCAGTCAGCCAATGGAAGCGCCAGTCAATAGCTCACTAGGAATGGAATCATCATCCTGCACAGAGTAATGGCTTACGTCAAACTAATGAATTCTGTAGCGAGGCGGTCAAAACTTGTCCGGCATGCGTGCAACGTCCAACAGGTACGGTCTTTGCTCGTGGGCTCCGTTGTATGATGGGTCGGAAGATTTCGGCGGGACTCAACGGGGAACGTGCGGCACGTCCGACAGCCAACCTCTCCGAGATGGACATCATCGAGACACCACCCTGCCCGATCTGATTCTGGAAACCACGCGATTCCGAGAGGCCTCAGGCGGTTATCTCCGGTACGCAGTCAGGATGTCACAATTCCATGCTTCAACTGCCAATGTTTTGGGCATAGCAAGACCTGTAGACAGAAGGCCAGATGTCTTGAGTGCGGCGGGCATCCTTACGAGAGCTTAACATTCGCAGCGCTTTGAGCGCTTTACTTTCAATTTGGAGCGGTTATGAGGATACTGAGAACGAGCACTTTTATGTTTATGGTTGGTCGTAAAGACAAGAGAAAGCATAGTTCTAGAAAGTATGCTGCCTAACCCAACATGCCTCGCTTGCACACGCCGTACGAAATGTGACTGTTCTATTCCTCGACGCCCTTCCTATGATGCAATCAAGTGGAAGCTACACCGCCGAACTGTCTTTTAAATCGTCCTTAGATTTAGATAAATCTGTAGGCTCCGCCGCGTTAGACGTTGACTGTTGATCTCTGACTAGGATAGCCTGCGACCGGCGGCAGCGGCTGCGCTAGTGGCCACGTAACGTCAGAGGGCAGGACGGAATGCAGCGCATTTCGGCACGTTAAGCTCCCGCTGCAAAGTGCTGCCGTTAGTCCGACATACGACTGGGTCGGGACTCACTAGACCAGCGCTGTTCAGAGTGGGTGGTTATCCCAGATATGTCTCCAGAGGACGAACTCTTTGAGAAGCACATGCTTACTCCAACCACATCACATTGCAGTGCCGCACGCCCCATGGCTGCTTGAGAGACAATCCTCATACCCCAAATATGGGTAGCGGTGTGTGCATTTGCTAGGCCTCCAGTCCTAGAACTGTAAATGTGTTAACGTATTCCTTATTTTCCGTGGAGAGATACACAGCACTGAACCAGGTATCCGGCTGTGACGTGTGGGTAAGGGTGGCACAGGAGTTTTAGAAATATGAAATAAACAGTCGGCACCCGTGTAGAGCCGCCTTCTACGCAGGGTTGTTCAGATAAAACGTATGTTTTACTCAACAGCGACAAGTCCATTTTTCGCATTATGAAGGCCGGTAGCATTTACATGACCATTCAATTGCAAAACATGATGCAAGAACAATGCTAATTATCAGTCGCATCAGACATTCGTCAATTCGAGATTTGCACACGATGCTTTGCGGGCGAGGATGAGTATCCTGTCAGCACGACACACGACAGCGGAGCGACACATCGCTACCATACTGATACCTTTTTGGGCGGCGTTCAGACGGCTTCACGGGATCTGTGGGCAGGGGGTGGCTCCAGCAAGACGGCACGGGCTTC